GGATGTTAAAATTACCTGTGACGCTAATTATATAGATATAGATCACTAAGAAACACCGACCGTGAAAGTTAACAAGTACACAATTCTTTGGAAATTTTGCCTTTTTCTTGCCGGAAATGATTTAATTATATAGGTGGTTCAAACATATGATACTTCCAAAACAACAAACAACGTTTTATCTATGGAGTTCAAAGACGAAAGGGGACGGAAGAGCAAGACATTTTGCTATTTTTTGTAAAATTCTATATTTATTTAATTCATTCATTATTTTCATATGAAGATAGGGTGAAGGTAATATCACTATTTAAGTAAACCTAATCACGAGAAGGTAATATTTGGTCTAATTTTACCAATGGAGGGAGCATTGAAATACCTACTTCATTTCCATTATCAATGTAATCAATTTTTCTGTGATTCCCCAAAGTTTTCGATCTTCATTTTGAGAATTACTGATATGGAAGGTATAATACATATACTTAATTACTCCCTTGTAAGTGTAGTCAAGTAGGGTGACCCCTCTCCAAAAAATGAGAACTTTTCCACTTTTAGAATGAGCACTTTGAATATCAATGAGGATAGCTAGAAAAAAGAGAGCGTGAACAATATTTGTCACGCACAGATACAAAGTGCGTGTGTTGGCATAACATAAACACCTGAGATGCCTTCAATAAATTACATTATTATCATTCGACGGCAATCTGAATAAATATGAAGTAACAACCGCTTTATAGTTCCACATTTTTCTACAAATTTGTACGAGGTTGGAATTTTAATGGCTGACAATATCAGTGCTTGAGAAACATTGACCTTTCTTGCCTATTATGCGTTGAACCATTATGTATAACCTACCTACAACATTTATGTACCTATGGTGTTTATTGTTCCTGAAAAATTCCCTTCAGGCAGCACAGCTATACCTTTGGCAGCTACCTGCAAGCTAATTCCTTGGAATTTTTCGTTTAGAAGATCTAATATTCCCACAGGCAGGTGCTGCAATAGCATCAAAGCTGCTTCAACTTTCTTAAATTCTGATGAACTTCCTTTGTTAGCAGGTACAAAACAAATTCTTAGAATATTTGGTGAATTAAAGTGCAGTCGCATCGTAAGGTACAAAACACAAGTTAGAAACCGCCCTTTTATGTTGCAGAAGAACAAAAATCTGCCATAGTTAAAATGGTTTTTAAGTTTGCGAGCTCAACGTGTCTTATAATTCAAGGACGATTAATTTAGAAATTCGAAAAAGATTGTTAAAGGTGTATGTTTGGAGCGCGGCGTTGTACGAGTGCAAATGGACGATGGGCGCAGCGGAAAAGAAAAGGTTAGAAACGTTCGGAAATGTGGTGTTACAGGCGAATGATGAGGATACTGTGAATGGAGAATGTTAGAAAGAATAGGAGAACAAAGGAAGTCAATAAGAAATAGGCAAGGTAGATTGATAGGACACCTTCTCAAGCATGAAGGTCTACTCAGAGACGTATTAGAAACAGAAAGGGGAATTAGGAGGGGTAGAGGTAGACCTAGATTAGATTACGGTTCGCAAATATTTAAGGATGTCGGTTGTTCTAGCGGCATGGCCTAGAGGTCTAGACCATTGCTTAGCATTCGGGAGGACGCCGGTTCGATTCCGGGTCCGTCTGCCTTGGTCCAAGTTTTTCTGTGGTTTCCGTGGATCATTTAGGCAAATGCTGGGGCAGTAATAATCCACAGATAATCTTTCTTTCTCTTCTGTCTTCATTTCGTCCGTCTCATCTTTCTCACCCGAACCACCACCCACCCATTCCCACGATTCCTGAATGCAGGCTGAAGAGGGCCTTCCGCGCTACCTTCCGGCATAGTCCGGAGGGACTGCCCGCCCACCAGCATTACTGGCTGGTGGGAATGAAACACCCAAAAGTAAGTTTTCTAGTTTTACGGAAATGCAAAGATTAGCTCAGGGTAGGAAAGAGTGGAGGTGCGTGTCCAACCAGTCTTAGGACTGACGACCTTATGATGATGAACCACGGAGATGGTTAAAAAATGCGGATTTTACGTGACCGTTTATAATGAACACCTTCACGGCACTTTCCAGTTCCTATAAACGTATTGCTCATACTAAATCGTACTTCTGGATGAATCAAGAACCTTCTGAATATAATGGATCAAATTAAAAAAGTGGTAGTGTTTTACTTCAAAAATAATGCATTAGACATGTTGTAACGAGATATACTTGTCAAAAAGAAGAAAGTCAACGAGTTAAGAACATGTTTTCATTAATTGATTTTTCGAAATTAGCGTAATTATCTTTTAATTAACTAACTTTGTTAATTCTATTATTAAATTGAACTGACAAGCACAAATCATTAGTATACGTTGGAATTTAGTAGCATTCGATCATTATTTAACAGTAGACAACTTTGTAAATATTTCCTCTTGTGCAAGACCAGTTTAATTTTATTATTTACTTATCGTTAGTTGTAAAAAGCAAACTCTTAGTAGCTGAATAGAAACATTAGCCTTTGGCATCTAACCACCAGGAAACTGAGAAAGTTTAACTAAGAAATTATAGAGGAAATAGAGACATACGGATATAAAATACAGTCATTAGACTGTATATAAATAGAGAAACAGGAAAATGTAGTTCAGTTTCCTTAAACCAAATAATTACAACACTTCTCTGTTTGATTATAATTTTATTAGCGAAATAGAATTCATGTCGAGGATCGCTATTTATACATATATATATATATATATATATATACCATAGGTAGCTAGTAACATTATTTAGAATTTATGGTCATATGATGAGGAATACGTATATAGTGTTTTACGGGGTGGAAATATGGGAATGGGAGGGGAAAAACGGAGATAGAGGTTTTACATAAAAGATATAGATAGTTGATATAAGTGGGTACTGTAATTAGAGAGAAGCACGCCAGATTTTGTAATAAGAAGAGAAACTAAACGTGGGAAGGCGTTCGAAGAAGCTATAAAAAGGATAGTAAAATATGAGGAGAACTTGGGGAGACTGGAAGAAAGGGCTATCAGGAAGAAGCTGTTGGAAATAGGGACGAAAAGTAGATATGATAGAGGGAAAGGGTTTTGAAGTGATTAAAAATCAATGAATATTAGGTAAGGTGATGGTTTAGGTAAGGGATCAACATAGGGGAATTGATGAATAACAGAGGAGTCAAAATATACGGTGAGGCTGAGGGAGATTATGTGACAAAGGGATTGCGTGCCAAGGTATTTAAAAGGTGAAGGGGAAATAAAAGTGCTAGTAAAATTAAGAACAGGGAATGAGCGTAAGGGATGTAAATATTGGAAGAAGAAAGAGGACACACGGTGAAACATGTGTTAGGTGGATAGTACAAGGATGACTGATGGAAATTTTAAGGAATAGGGAGTCGTTTTTCTTTTTAGGACAGTGAAAAAGGTGTGACAAAAGAAAGTTGTAGGGGAGGGACGAAAAATAGAAATGGAAATGTAGAAAATGACTTTTTAATAAAGCTTAATACAGAAATGGTAGTTTTAATAATATTACCATGTCGGGGAAATTTATAATTCGTTCTATGCGCCCCTGTGTAATAATCAAGAGTTTATCATTTTTTATCATTAGTCAGTCTAATATTATAGGCAAGCTTCTTGATAAGCATACATAGATAAATATCTTGACTTCTAGAATTATAGAATTAAATATTAAATAAAAATAAGTTGATAAGTCGTCATTGAGTCTTTATTTCCTAATTAGGGTAGTAATTGTGTCTTATAGTACTTATCCGCAAAATTAATTCCCTCGATCTTAAGATTTTTTTTTTGTAAAATGGGAAATAATAAAGCCACTAATAAGTCATACTATAGCGTTAATTTTAGATGCAAGTTAAGTAAATTCCTACTTTATAAAAGTGGAGAAAGGCCTCGGTCGTTGCACAGCGTACGAGGGTGGATTGATAAGTTTCCGGCCTAACCAAGAGATGACGCCACTAGGCCTACCTTGAGGTGACATTCTATAGTACCATCCTTGGATAGCTTGTAGCTATAGTTTCAGCCCGATCTCCTTGCTAGTGTAGGTTTGACAGCACGCCGAACCGGTATAGATACTAGTTGTTTCAAATTAGTAACTGGCATTTTTAAAATTTTTTGTATTTATTAACGAGAAAAAAATATAAGTTGCAATTAAGACATCACGTAACTTATGTGTTACTTTCAACATTTCGAAATATCTCATACCAACTACACTATCGATATAACCAGCAACAACAGTTTACGTTCAATGCAAAAATGTATCGGCTAGTTGCTCAAAAATTTGCACCTTTTATATTTAATTTTTTTAACAAAACTAAGAAATTATATGATTCCAGAGGGGCTCTGAAAATGTCCCATAAAAAGGAGGACAAAACGTCAACAAAAAGATTATTAAAATATTGAAGAGTTTTAAAAACAGATTTTTACAAAAAAGATAAAAACCTTTTGCAGTCTAAATATTGAATAAATATTTTAGTCAATGATATGCCATGCCCGAAGTCAGCTATAATATACATTGTACCTGTAGTTGTATTGGTTGACCTTACATTGACCTGCAGATCTATCAAACGACAGGCTAAAATCTTTGCCTTATGAAGTTTGAAATACAATCAGTAAGTCAAGACAGGACATGATTTTTGTTATCCATAACAACAATCTAAAACGGTCATGGTTAACAAATACAAGTAGATGAACAACATTAATGTATTTTTAGATCTTTATTTAGATTATACATAACATTCCTGTCCAAATAGAGTTTTGTTAAAATATGCCACCTCGTGAATATTCACAGCCAAATTCATTCAATTCTGCATGGTATTAACGATAACAAAAAGATATCACAACTGAAAATTCTTCTATTTTAATGAAGCAAGGAAAAGCTTACGAAAGTGAGGCGTAGCCTTCGCTTAAGTACATCATTTACCTTGTTCAAATTAAAAATAAAATTAAAAATTAACCTAAAAAGACGTTCAAAAAATTTTATTTTGATTTATTTACAGGCCACGAAGACGTTCGGGGAGCAGCATCGTCGTATTGGACGGCGAGCTGGATACGGTAAAGAAGCCCCCGGACGATTTGGACGTGGACAGTGCGGCCCTGGATTACAACATGGTGATGATGTTGGCGGGAGATAACGGACCTCATCGGGAAATGGCCGTTGACGTACCCGACACGTTCATCGCCAGGAATAAAACCCCACCGCGCTATCCACCCCCAAAGCCGAAAATACAAGTGAGTTGTTAAAATTTACAATCATAGCAATTAACGAGTTTTAGAATTTAGACGTACCTATGTAAGAAGATAATTTTAGACATATTTAGCTTTAACTTTTATCTCAAAAAGGAATAAGGCCCCCCTCAAAGGGCCTTATATATGTAGATCTGCCTGTCAGTAGGTTACTCATTGTGAAATTGTAAGATTAATTAAAGATCATTGGTATTTCCCCAGGGTTACTAGTACATTGTACCTATGGCAGAGTCTACTGTATTTAAAAGTACTCACAATGTGCATTTTTTAAACATCTGTTATGCGTAACATTTAGACCAGGGACCTACTTTTATCTAGGCCTCTTGATTTTCACACGAGTGAAAGGGACTATCGTTTGAAAATTGTATTAGGCAGGGCCGTAGCGAGGCCGGTTCAAGCGGTGCGGCGCACCGGGGCCCCCGCAGTCGAGGGGCCCCTTAGCAGTTTTCTGTTTTCAAAAAATGACTTCTAAAAAAAAGTTATGCTGTGAGAGATGAGCTGAGTCAAACTACGAAATGAACATCATAATTTTTTATTTTACTTTTTTCTATATCAATTTTTGTCACAATACTCCATATATTTGATCAGGTACGTAGTTACATGGAATGCATACATATCGAAATCGCGAATACTTCTACATTCATGGTTTCCTTAAATCCGTAGATATAATTATCATTGCTACCATAAAAAATTACAAATTGCTGACCATAAATCTATATCACCCGAAACATCACTATAGAACTCATTGCACAAACATCAAGTGCCTGCTCTTATTTCTAAAACGTTTTTTTTCTCGATTTGATAGCAGCAAAATCATCAATAGTTTTATCGAAATTTATTTTTCGGGCTCGCTCATTTTCAATGCTGCCAACTGCCGCCCATGCCGACACCGCGACGTTGGCATCAGCGTCAGAGGTTATCTGTCAGTGCTGCACGGGGAATCATCTATTCGTGAAATTAAAACATTTTTTTAATGACATTTTTAATACCGCACTGGGGCCCCGAGCTCATCGCTACGGCCCTGGTATTAGGCATCGTCTAAATGGTAGTAATAGCTTCCTAAGATCCTAAGTTAAGTAAGCACTGGCTTTGCTGCTTAAAAGGGGCGTCGTCCGAACGACTTGATGAATATTACAAATTGCAGTCAAAAAGTCATATCATTTTTGGATTCATCGTAGATGCATTTTTTTGCAAAAAGAAAGCGCCGAATCAAGAAATGATAATAGACTTCTCGACTTATAGATTTTACCAACATTCAACATCATTAATTGTTAAGTGCATGGTAACAGGAGAGAGAGAAGGTTCGACTGGAATGTGAAACCTGTGCATTTCCGGTACCGTGAAAGGGTGTGCGATTCCAAAAGCGCGGACTTTCTCTTTACCTGCAAACAACAGCAGACAGGAAAGAAATGCGCTCAACTATGACGAGTAACTCAGTCATGCCGGCCAACAACAACAACAAACATGCGATACAAGAAATGAAACAACTCGTAACGGTTGGACATCACGATGCATTTCAAGGTTAAATTGTTTCAGGTAAAATCGTTTAATGAGGAACAGAAGACTACAGAACTTCGAAGAAAGAAAATTTTGGATTAAACGAATATATAGCATAAGTGGGTTTCTTAAGAACCTTTTCTGGACAAAAGGTTTTATCATTGATTTGGTGGACTTTCTAGATTTGTGGGCTTCTTCTTAGTGTTCTCCGGACACAAACCAGTACCAGCGATTTCCTGGACTTTCCAAATTTGTCAATTTCATAAGTCTTCTCTAGATAAAATACTTTCCAGTTTGTGGGTTTTTTAAGAATCATCTTTGGGCACAAAACTTACTTATTGATTTGCTGGACTTTTCAGACTTGTAGGCTTCTTCCGAATGTTCTCCAGACACAAAACAGTATCACGGATTTCCTGGACTTTCCAAATTTATGAATTTCTTAAGTCTTCTCTGGATAAAATACTTTCCAGTTTGTGGGTTTCTTAAGAATCATCTTTGGACACAAAACTTAATTATTGATTTTCTGGACTTTCCAGACTTCTAGGCTTCTTCTGAATGTTCTTCGGACACAAAATAGTGTCATTGATTTCGTGGACTTTCCAAATTTATGAATTTCTTAAGTCTTCTCTGGAGCATCTTTGGACACACAACTTTATCACCTATTTGTTGACCCTCTAGATTAAGAATTGCTTTATTTTGGAGGAGTTTTAAGGATGTAATGGAAGCGGTGACAAAATGTCATCATTTTGTAGACCTCTGTCGCAGAAAAATCACACAAGCTGAGCTACTGCGAAACTACTCATTTTTAAAAGACCAGAGAATTTGTAGTGTGAACTATTTTCAGTTCTTTATGGAACGGATTCTTAATAACTACACAAAAAGAAATTTGACCGTTAATAGGTATTCTAATCGATCTAATAATAATCCTGTTATGACCTAAATCTTCAATACTTTTCGAAAAATAATTTTTGTACATCTTTGTTGAGAACTAAGAAGACAGCATCCGCGATGGATACTTCCATCATCCAATTTTGCCCAAAGATGTTTTTTTATCTGTTGCTTGTCTAATTATATGAACTCTTGGTCATCTCTTTAAAAACAGATCTGGTGTGGATACTTCAAGTAAACAATCCGGTCGTGATTTTTGATTTTCACCCGTCAACTTTTTTGTGCACTCCACTTAGAATTAACCGGAACGAAGATCGTGCTCTCATCGCCATCAGGTACAATTAGAGGCCAAGAGATTAGAAAATTTTCTTCGTTCATCTTCAGCAACATCAGAGGCACTATACTCAACATTCTTTGGGTTCTTAGGTCTTTTTTTCTGTTGCGTGGTTGCTAGTGACGCTAATGATTAGCCTCAAGTTGATAAATTACTCGAGCTTCAATTTGGATAGACATGAAATTAAGAGATGCTACGTCTGTATCCTACATATCAGTTTGATCCATTGAGGACTGCATTGTTGATTTGAAACTGAATCCTATTTTGGTTTTGACGATGTCTCTTTGGTCTCTTCCGAATTCTAAATGTTTACTACAATCAAATTCCGCCAAATTTTATTAAGTACATAACAAATTACGTCAAGGTACTGATATAAGCATTGCTTTTATAGCAATATAAAGATTACTAAACGTTTCCTAATACTTGTTAAAACTTTGTGATTTTTACATCACCGAAAGCTAAAATCTCATTTACGTTTCCTTTTAAAAACACATTTCTTGTTAGAAGCTTTTAAATCCTATTCTTTATTTGTCCCTTGTCTCAATGAAGAACCTATACACACTTCGTAAACGAATTATTATTTACAAGTTTTAATAACTAGTTTTTCTTCTACCCATATAAAGAACGGTTGCGAGTTGATAAACTAAAGAACTAAACGAAAACAGTAATGGCTCAATGGATTTAAAGAAACTCGTTGTCCGATTCAGAGAATTTGGCCCCGGTTACACAAAGAAATTTACATACAAACAACTTCTCTCTCGTGTAAGTAGATTACGTCTGTTCGCAACAATGGAATTCCAAGAGCGCCGTAAATAACAAAAAAAAGAAGAAGTTATAAACTTATACGAACTCATTGTCATCTTTCCGACCATTCAAAATGATAATTATTTTTGATATGCATACAATGCGATATTTCGATGAGCAATGACACGGTAAAGAGTTCAAAGGCACACCTTCAGTCTTACGAATGGTAAATAGCCAGGTTTTGCCTGCGGCTTCGCTTGCGTGGATCAGGGTTTTTTGTACATTATTAAGTAACAAACATTTACTCACATTTCCCGTAGCAGTTGTAGAGTAGATGTACCCAATTTTTTGCGTGTAGCTTCGTGCGTATAACCTGTATCTTTACATTCAAACTCAATCGGATTTTGAATCCATTTGGTTCGACTCCAATTCTGATTTTGTTCTCTCAGTTCCTTGTAAATTAGTCTTTATATCAAGCAAAAAAACTCTCTTCATAACTATAATCTCTGGTAAAACCTAAGTTGAAATGTAGCTTAGATACTATCATCTCAATGAGCTGCTCCACATAAGAATCGGTACTACAGTAATAATGGTTTTCAAGATTTATATGGAAATAGACACATGTGAAGCTAAATTTTGGAGTGGCACTTAAAAATATTTATTTTGGAACGTGGATCTGCATGATTTTTTTTTATTAAAACAGGAGTAGATTTAACCACCGACCTCTACTGTAGTCTAAAGTGGTCAATAAGAATGAAAGCCCGATTTTCAGTGTGATATAGCAATATTAACATCTAGCAAGCTAAAGTTAGAGATAGCTTTAAGTAAAATGGAAGCAGTATTGTCAAAACAGTACTGTATGAATATAAATAAAAGTAAAACAAAAATACTGCAAGGGAAGAAATAGTAGGGAAAGAGCGAATATAAAGATAGATAAGTAAAATGGAAGCAGTATGACATAGCGAAGGGTCGAGTCGCCTTCAATAAAAAGAAGTCACTTCTATGCTCGCGAACGGTTAATTTAGAAATTCGAAGAAGTTTGTTGTTTGGCGTGCGGCGCTGTACGGGTGCGAAACATGGTGGGCGCTGCGAAAAAAAGGTTAGAAGTGTTCGAAATGTGGTGTTACAGGCGAATGATGAGGAGAACAGGAGACTCTATGGAACTCAATAAGAAATAGGCGAGATAGGTTGGTAGGACACCCTCTCAGACATGAACAACTAGTCAGAGACATATTAGAGGCAGAAACGGGAGTTAGGAGGGGTAGAGGTAGACCTACATTAGATTACTGTTCGCAAATAGTTAGGGGTATGGGTTGTTCTAGTTTTAGAGAAATGCGAAGATTAGCTCAGAATAGGAAAGAGTGGAGGTGCGTGTCCAACCTTATGATGATGATGATGAGGAGGGTGATGACAGTTAGGAAGATTTACGCCACTAGCTGCTGATAATTTTACAAAAAGAACCTCATCATCACAAGGTTGTCAGTTCTAAGACTGATTGGACACGCATCTCCACTTTTTCGTATAGGCACTGAGTTAATCTTTGCATTTTCCTAAAACTAAATCATCCCATATCTATTTGGAATCTAATCTAGGTCTACCTCTGCTCCTCTTAATCTTGTTTCTGCTTTCTTTTTCGAATTTCCAAATTAGTCGTTGGTGAGCATAAAAATGATTCCTTTTTCTTGAAGGTGACTCGACCCTGCGCTATCCTCTGTTTTATATCTCAATTGCCCCTTTCATTCTGACTTATCATATCATCTTATATGTTTACGAAGTAACACTTATATATCTATTATATATAATGCTATTTTAATAATTCTAAATTAGTAACTGTTCTTCCTCTCAAAATCCGAGGACATCTAAATCAGTAAACTTCCCGGCTGCCCAACAACTAATTTCAGGACGCACACCTACACGTTCCACAGTTAATAAGTTACAAAAATATCAAGGATATCGTTATTAAAAACGTTCATTCTTTTATGTATTAGCATGTAGAAGCAATGAAATTCACGTCGTAAACTTGTTTCACAATTTTTATTGTGTTTCAGGAAAGTATGCGAATTAAGTGGATATTTCAATGACAAGCAGAACAAATAGTTGAGTAAATATCCATTCGATTTTTATTTTCGATTTATTACACGGAACCATTTGAATACATGAAAACAATGCACATTTAACATAATTCTTATCAGATTTTTGTTAACACAAATCAGTAACTACACGACTGCAAAAATTAGTTTTTGTATATTATTATTTGTTAACTTATTATTAATTCGTTTTAACTGTTGTGAAATAGTGTTATTGATAAAGAATTTATAGCTCTACATTGATAATTTCCTTAATTCATAAATAATAATCAATTGATTTAAATAAAATAGGGTGGAGAGAAATTCTAGAAATCGTTACCCTCATTCAGCTAAGGTTGGAAAATAAATTTCTGGCTCTTCTTCCAGCTTTTTGTTTAATAAAATGTGCTAGTAGCAAAGCTTTCGGAACTGTCCATTTTTACATAACATAAAAATTAATTAATTTAATCCTCCTTCACCCACATAACAGGACCTTAAACTTCATGGCTGACCCCTTCCCGCACCCCATTGCGATACGTAGCATTTGCATTGCAGGGGTTTAGGCTTGAATTCAAAAATTAATTCACTTTTAAATAAACACTTTTTTATTTGCATTATATGCGGTGTCCCACGCGAATATCGTCTATAGCGGATTTACGTTCCATTGTTTTACGGTTTTAGAGTTGCCAACTTTTCAGTTCTAAAATAGTTAAGTACCTACGTAAAACAAATCTTGTCCCCCCCCCGTAGACGCCAGACTGGAGACCCTCCCCCCCACTTTGCGTCATGCGAGTTCGAAATATTAAAATATCACTTACTGTAAAGTAAGTGTATGTATGCATATTTTATCAGGTATATTAAATGTAATAGAATTCAGTAAACTGTATGATCTGCTGCTGATAAATGTTCCCGAATGAGGTTAAGCGGTTAAATTATCAATAAAGTGTCTGTTCAATGCACGCAGGCTTATTTTGTTATCTGTTCTAGTGCGATATGCTGAACCAACAAACAGCAATAAATATTTATAAAGAACAGGTGTATAGTTTTCAATAAAATGTAGACATACTTCAGTCAACTACATAGACATAATACCTACACGCATGTACAACTTGAACATTTATGAAATCATTATTTTGAACGAAAATTACTGATAAAGTGGCGTAACAGTCTAGCTTTATCAAATATGTACTTAATTTTTCGTACATAGAACTGTATACGTAGATATTGCATACAGATACCTTTTTTTCTGTATTATAATAATTTATAGTTCATGATCCATCTCTCAAGCAGTTTATAAGAAAACAACAATTTAAAATAATTTAAAAAGAAAGGGAGGTTTTATAGTCACTAAATCACTTTTAACTACAGTGAAAGTCGTACAAAATGACTATGTATAGCGTCAGATAGTCCCTTCGAATTACACTCTCGGGGGTCTAAGGACAAAGTAGGAGATTAGCACAGAAGACCCTGTTCTTCATTCTTCTAGGAATCGTGGAAACGGATGGATGATGTTGAGAGAGAAAGGTGGAATAAATGAAACGAAGGCAGAAGAGAAGTTCATCATTATCTGTGAAATGTTGCTACTCCGAAATTTGCTTTAGGGATCCAAGGAAACCACAGGAAACTTGGATCAAAGAAGGAGGATCCGAAATAGAGCCTGTAACCTCCCGAATGCTTAGTTATGGTTTAGATCTAGACTCCTAGACAATTGTCTTATCACGACGAATATTATTTTAGCGACATTCATTTGACCCTTTATATAAACTTTTATACCAAACCGTATTTTTGTTTGGGTCCTATTGTCTGTACAAAGTTACAGTGGGCACCATATGTACCATGTATAGGTAATAAATCAAATTATTGATTTAGAATTCTCTTAATCAAAAGCATTACCTTCCATTATAGAATCCGTCAAATACCTATGTGCATACTCATCATTATTATCATCATCATCATCATTATCATAAGGTCGTCAGTCCTAAGACTGGTTGGACACGCACCTCCACTCTTTCCTGTCCTGAGCTAATCATCGCATATTTTTTAAAACGACATCCAACACCCTTAACTATTTCTGAACAGGTCTATCTCTACTCCTCTTAACTCCTGTTTCTGCTTCCTAGATACCAAAAGTCAGCCATTTGTTCTAATTTTTCGTCTGCTATATTTATATTCGCCCTTTGCTTACTTATGTAAAACTTAAAATAAGTACAAACATATTAGATGGTTTATAGCGTCTATCGGTTACTGTAGTTCTTCTGCCGTTGGTTGTTAGAATAGGGTTGTACTAACACCAGAGATACTAAGACCTCCTTGGTTGTAATATTTGTTTTAAGACTTATAATGGTAATGTGTCGTTGTTGTTTCAGACCGGACTTAATGGAAACATGCCGATTCCTGCGACGTCGACGGCGGCGACGCCGGTGGTGTCTTCTACTGCGACGTCGATATCGGGTTCGAAACCAGTGCCTCCACCACGTGATCATCTCAAAATCGAAAAAGATGGTCGACTGGTGAACAGGGCGCCCGCCCCCCAACTACCCGCTCGCATTACCAACAATAACAATAACATCATCGGTACAGGTACACCTACGGCGATACCTGTGGCGCCACCCGTTGTGCCACCCCCGACAGTGGCCGCGACGGAACCCACCAGGGAGCAGTTGGATAGTATTCGAAAATATCAGGTCAGTAACAGGAGACTTTTAAGACTTTAATTAAGGAATATGTAAAGAACATTTGAATGTCATCAATAAATATATATATAGATGGCGTTACACTGACAATTACTTGATGACATGTAACAAGTTCGGTTTAGTGGAAGTTCTAAAAACAACTAGTAAACTTGTGGGTTTGTGGGTCGATCACTGGTCACCAAACACCAGTTTAGAATTTGTGTGCATGTACCTACTAGAAGGTTTTTGAATGTTTATAGGGTGATCATCACCTAGAATGTTCTCGAATATCTATGATTGTTCTCAAGTAGAATGTTCTGTAGTAAACTGGACCAGAAGAATCGAGAACATTCTAGAATGTTCTAGTAGAGAGGTGGGACTACCTTCTGACACTATACATTAAGGCATTTTTATATACTTTAACTAGTGCTCTATATAATAGAAGATTGGAATCTTCTTTATTACTACAAGTGAAAATGTACCCACTAGAATGTTCTCGAATATCAAGGATCGCTCACGAGTAGGTAGATTGTTCTATAGTGAACAGGAACGGAAGGAACGTTCTGCAATTTTCGAGGGCCATTATGTTTGGATGGTAGAGCTAGGTTTTGACACTAAGTTGGAATTTTCATATATTTAGACCAAAAGTCCTAAAGTATTTTATGGATTCTCCTATAATGTCCGAAATTTCTTAAGACTGATTTGCGTTTGGGTTTCCCGGTGTATTGTTAATTATTTATTTTAATATTAATCGTGGACCATGCCTATCGAAAAATTCGAAATCTGTCTTCATTTATATTTGTTATTATGATGAATTCAACACTAAAGAAAGGATTAGAAATAGAAATCGGAAATAGGTATGAATGAATGTAAATATTTTGTACTATCGTATCTAAATACCTTCAATAAACCCATCAATAATAATTGGAAATTTCCTCTTAAACGAATCGATTTTTAATGACAATACTATGTCTGTATGATATCTTTATCTTTTTGATTTTTACTGTTTCCTTGTTGTAAAAAAATGCTTTAATGATAACAAAACATTGAGCAGCACTGAATTAATATGATATTTATTACTTATCTTATCAATTACCTATATTAGGTACTAAATTATAGTGAAATATTTTATCTCCAATGGAATAAATAAACAAACAACAAATAAATTCAATACTTTATCCACTAATAAATATGTGTTTACGTGCGTACCCAATTTTAAACGAAAGGAATAAATCTTTTAGTACCTGTCTACCTTACATAAAACCTTCAGGTGATTAACATTTGAGAGCCATATTCTACAAAGTACCTTAATGAGTAAATCGGTTGCTATTTAGTGAGTTAAAATCACATAAATTTAAGGATTCATCGAATTTATGGTGGAGGTGCCGGGGTAAAACACAACTATTTGTTTTAAGAAAATACTACAAATGGCGTGGTGAACGCCATCTGTGGTACGATGCTACATTTTAGGATTACGTATGCTCCAACAAGGTCCAATTAAAAATATGGATATCTACTTGCTGAAACGAATCCCGGCGTAGCTCACCTCAACGTGATAGGCACGTTACCATAATCGAATAAAATAATTCGAAGTGGTCTGTATTCTGTCGAAACTGCCAGACGCGGATCGCGATTTCGATCTTTTTGGATCTCATCAGCGCGTCGCAGACAGCTCCGACAGAACACAGACCAACTTTTACCTGCTGTCTTAACAGCGCGTTTTAGAAAATACCACAAATGGCGCGGTAAACGCCATCTGTAGTACGATGCTACATTTTAGGATTACGTATGCTCCAACAAGGTCCATTTAAATATATGGATATCTACTTGCTGAAACGAATCCCGGCGTAGCTCACCTCAACGTGATAGGCACGTTACCATAATCGAATAAAATAATTCGAGGTGGTCTGTATTCTGTCGAAACTGCCAGACGGGGATCGCGATTTCGATCTTTTTGGATCTCATCAGCGCGTCACAGACAGCTCCGACACAACACAAACTAACTTTTACCTGCTGTCTTAACAGCGCGTTTTAGAAAATACTACAAATGGCGCGGTAAACGCCATCTGTAGTAAGATGCTACATTTTAGGATTACGTATGCTCCAACAAGGTTCATTTAAATAGATGGATATCTACTTGCTGAAACGCCTAAGTTGCTTTTATTTTCTGCGTCTACTTGGGCACATACCGACCGAGTTTATTTTTGAGGGTTGCGAAACGTTTCGGGCCGAATTTACCACTGTAATTAACAAAAACCATTAAATCGGCCGAATTTACAATCGCCGGTGTACGCAAGCTTGCCCTTGACCTTGATCTTTTACTTCTTATTGATATGGTTTATAATTTTTCACGGCAACACCATAAAACTCGTTAGCTTAGGGTACTGTTTNGCGTCGTAGGCAGCTCCGACAGAACACAGACCAACCTTTACCTGCTGTCTTAACAGCGCAAGTAGATATCCATATTTTTAAATTGACATTGTTGGAGCATACGTAATCCTAAAATGTAGCATCGTACTACAGATGGCGTTCACCACACCATTTGTGGTATTTTCTAAAACGCGCTGTTAAGATAGCAGGTAAAGGTTGGTCTGTGTTCTGTCGGAGCTGCTTGCGACGCGCTGATGAGATCCAAAAAGATCGAATTCGCGATCCGCGTCTGGCAGTTTCGACAGAATACAGACTACTGATTATTTTATTTGTTTTTAATTGATTTTTTAAGAGAATTGCTATTTCCGAAGATGAAATTATCCCAGCTGTACCTTTTAGTTATAAATTGTTTGAGCATTTTGACAAAAAATTGTACTTCATTTATTATTTTCTGGATCTGACTGAAACCTAACGAATAAAAGCCCTTTCATATGTATATTATCAGGTTTAGAAAAAATAACGCAGAAATCATAATAATAATAATAATAATAATAGAGGAGCTGTTATTGAGAAACCAGACTGAATGAGATAAGTTTCTGGAAGAGAGCAGCAGCTCTTCAAATACTCAGGGTGGCAGAGTCCATAGGGGGCAGTATGTTAAGCTAATGCACAATACCGTGAAGTGGAAGGCATTACGAAACCATCACATTATGATATCTCAAGTACAACTCACTGAAAATTTAATGATGTAGTAAGGAATTCCGGACATAAAATAGTCCCCCATTCGGATGCTAAGGCAAAGACTATCCCGAAGGATGTCGTCAGAAATAATGTTAACGATTCAAGAGTATATAAGAACGTGAAATGTTAGAAGCATAAATTAAATAAGAAATTTAGAAATTTTACAAATTGAGATGGAGAAACAGTAGGAAAAGACAGGGCGCCATGAGTAGGTAGGTTTTCAGGGCACCTCAGACATGAAGGACAAGTTCGAGACATATTAGAGGGTCATATGTTCGCAAAATAGTTAAGGAGATATGTAGGTTGTCCTAGTTTTCGTTAAATGCGATGATTAGCTCAAGAAGTAGAGGTGCGTGTCCAATTATCCTTCGAACTAATTGTAAGAATCTTATGATGATGATGATGACCACGTAACAACACTAACAAGAATGAATATTCATACAGTTTGGATCCTACAGGTCAAACAAACTTGATATTGTGACAATATTTAAAAGTTAATCGAAAACATGAAAGTTGTACTACTGAAGCATAGGACCTTGGGGTTCCCCATGGGCATCAGACAATAAAAAGAGATCCATACATACAATTTATACATCTTTTCGAAGTGAGCTAGTTTAATATGAAATATTATTCTGAACATTGGTGCGTAAAGCCAAAGCTCCCGGGTTCGATTCCCGGCGGGGGTGTGACAACAACAACAATTTTCCCTCATTAATTTGAGGTAGCGTGTAGTGGGTAAAAAATTCAGAAATGAATTTTCAGAATAATATTTCATATTAAACTAACTCACTTCGAAAAGTTGCCTAAATCGTATGTATGTTTAATCATAGTATATTCAGTATAATATAGTCACATTAGTACGACGGATCGTAAACCTTGTAGGTCGGTTGGTAGTGGTTGCTGTTGTCACCTCTCGTAGTTTAGTGGTCAGAACATTGGTGCGTAAAGCCAAAGGTCCCGGGTTCGATTCCCGGCGGGGTAGGTAGCGTGTAGTGGGTAAAAAATTCAAAAATGAATTTTCAGATTAATTCATATGAAAAGATATCCACTGTTTGCAGGGTAACCCTGTATACATTCCTAGTGCATTGCATTTACCCGCACATGATACACGGTCGTTAACGCTCCAATAAGCATTAAAACTACAGTAAAAATAAACACACCGGCGACGTTATTTGTTTGTATGGCCCGTAAGTTACATGTGTTCGTTTTATTTTTTATCGTTCGCCACTTCCTATCACTCGCGTGGATAAAAAGCAGGTGGGAGGTGTAATAGTATTATCAATCGGACTACTCGATGACGTAATTTCAATCGTACATAGGTATATTTTTATATATTATAACAGTGTCGGTTTTCTCTCTCTATCTCTTACCATTTCTCACCGTTTGCACTCTGACATTTATTTATTCAGTTTCGTGTAGTTTTAACTTTTGCAAAGTTGTTTTGACAGTGTCGTGTTTACATCGAGCGCCGGACAGGTTCTTTTTATGCGGCGCCTATTAAGTTTTTATCATTTTACGTACTTATTTTGTGTTTTTATAAAATATTATTATATTGTGGTTGTTTAAAACGATTATAAATAATTGTGCTCGGAACAAACTATGACCACGAGATCCAATGTGTGACTGTGATACCGAGTGCTCCTTTTTATTTTTGATTATACCGCTCTAATATGGTTTCATCGTCGCCAACCCAAAGCGATATAAGTAAAAATAACAATTGCTATTACTTCCAAACGCAAAAGGTAAATTAAATTTTTTTTGGGACAAATATAAATAAGTAAATACTAATAAGTAGGTACCTATGTAAAAAAAATAATGAACTGAATTGTTATCACAGATTTTCCATATGGTTAAATGAATATAAAACAATAAAACTTAAATAAATAAATTTAATGTTCCGACATGCGTATTAAGACAGAAAACTATGAATTTACTTTATAAAGAATTCGTAATTCAGCCTTTTCTTTAAAAATTGTGGATCAGTCAATAGTATTGGGTGCAATATATTTTGCTGAATTACCTATTTATAAAAAAAACAATAACCACAATAATTTATAGCCTTCAATAGTTGTTATAACATTTAAACTCCAACAACTTTTATTGCATTCATATTGCTTGTTTGACTTATTAAAAAAATGCAAACATTCACTATTGCTGTTCTTATTTTAAGTCTGTTATTTTATTTAACTTGATAATTAATAATATCTGTAACTAATAATATGTGTCATGTATTTTGTTGAGACTGTTGTGATGCTAGCTATTTCTGACTGAAGGCAAATTGCTGAAGAAATCAAAATATATTGATAAAACAATCAATACATCCACAAGGATCTCTAGTTTGTAGTGAGGAGATACATGAACATTTCCATTTTAAGATTCCTGTGTTAATAAATTCAACAATTACCTATAAAATATGACCATAAATAGTAAATACCAATAGGTAATTAACTTTAAAAAGCTACTATTTACATTTTTATGTATTACATCGTCTCTAGAGTATAATAAGCTTGACATTGCTGGTAAACACGACAATTAACAAATATCATACTTATTTGCAAGTATTTTTCACTTGATAGGTATATTGTGTTCTTCTAATGATAAGGTAAAATTAAGACGTTATTGTAATTACATATACGTATGTATATTGAATAGTACCACTGAAGATGTCAGCCCCAGCTGCCGATCTAATAGTTCATTTAGATCACAATCTTTCAGCCCAAATTATAATGGATACCGGTCTTGAAAGCCTATGTTATTATATAAAAGTATTCATAAATTTTAACAACTAATAAATTAAATATTATTTTAAAGAGAAAAATGTTCGAGGATTTTTTTATACTGTTGTTTTAATAGAATTTGCGGTTAGTTCCTATTCTTCCCAATGCTTTTCTTATAGAAAACTAGTAAGTCCCATGAGTTGCCCATAAATAACAATATTACGATCTATTCTTCGGACAAAGTTTTTCTCATATGTACAAAAGAAATTTGGAATCATCCACAATCAAATAACGCAAAAAATCGTATGCTAAAACTTTTTACTTGTAAGCACTTACTATTAGAAGAAAATACGATTTAACAATCAACAATCAAATTTTCATTTGGTTATAAATAGAAAGTGCGACAAGAACTTCACGAAGGTTAAATGTAAATTGTACCTGCACAAATACTGGAAAATCCTAAATATGAAACCATAGTGAGATTTTCCATTCGTATGTAAGCATTACACTTCACTGTTTGGTGTGCGCGCATAATTCTCATGAAAACATATCAAAAATACTAAGATACACCCACACATGTTGTTTACATACATATGCAAAATGTAATCACTTCGGACGTTCGATTGAATCCACAATGTTGTGTCATCTTTATTTGCAATAACTGCGAAAATTAGTGAATATACTTCGACCTTGCGGAAGAACTTATGTTTACATTAATTATTAATGAGACGTTTAGCAAATTTCTGGGAAATAAAAACGTAATCTTGAAGTTGAACATTCGCTAAATAAAACTCATTCAAAACGTTGTCTGTTTCTTTCGTAAAGACGATTCACTTGAAGTAATATTTGTTTTGCTCATATACAGAGTGTACGAATGTTGACTGATTTTTTACGTGAAATTTGTAACACTGTGGGGCACTACGGTTCAAACAACTAAGATCTATCGTTATTATACTACATTTCCGAACATTTGAAGAACATAACAATGAAGTTCAAGGTGTATCTAATACTATTGAAAATAAAATTAAAGTAGATATACAAAGTAGGCACAACAACAAAAGTCAAGGCCAAAGAAGAAAACGCGGAAAAACGGTGATCCATGATCGAATTGTGGAAACAAAAAAAATTCTCAGTACTTTAATACTATGCGTGATATCTTCTGTGAGAAGATTCAAATTGTTTCACAGCTCTAAGAGCTAAGGCAAGAAGTTAACCGAAGATGGAAATTACATATTTCTTTGTCGGCATTTTTTCTATCGCGTCTTTCTGAAACTAACCAAAATCACACAATCTTTAATATATTCATCATCATAAGGTCATCAGTCCTAAGACTGGTTGGACACGTACCTCCACTTTTGCCTATCCTGAGCTAAACTTCGCATTTCCCTAAAACTAGAACAGCCCACATCCCTAACTATTTGCGAAGAGTAATCTAATCTAGGTCTACCTCTAACTAACTCCTGTTTCTGCCTCTAATATGTCTCTGACTAGACCTTCATGCCTGAGAAGGTGTCCTACCAACCTATCCCGCCTATTTTTTATTGACTTCCATAGAATCCTCTGTTCTCCTATTCTTTCCAATACCTCTTTATTTCTAACCTTTTCTACCCACGATATCCTCATCATCCGCCTATAACACCACATTTCAAACGCTTCTAACCTTTTCTTCCGCCGCTCCCACTGTCCATGTTTCGCACCCGTACAACGCCGTACAAAAATGGCTGAAGGTATTTCTAAAAATTTTCCTATAATGTGTCGTAGTTTTCAAATGATGATGCCTCCCTTTGATGATTGCACGTCTTGCTGGAAATGTATGTGGTTGAGAATAAGACTGTGAATTAGTTAATCTAGTGTCTCAATGTCCATCTTCTCTAAATATTCTTGTACTTACGACTCAATAGGGAATTATTCCGGATGTATGGTGCGACAGGGATAACATAGTGGGATACAATGTCCTGAATACAACGTTCACTTGTCAGACAATCTTTACGTAAAGAAATGAGCTTCGTTTGAGTAAACACGAAAATACCCTCCCAAAGTCAAGCAATCTCTACGTAAAGAAACGAGCTCCATTTGAACAGTCAGGGGATTACCCTCCCAAATCATTAATGAAATTTTGTATATCTGCTGCAAAAATAGAGCGAATCAAGAAGCAAAATGTTTGGAAAAGATGAAACTACAACGTAATGTCGATAGATGTTCACTGTTTTAACCGTAACACCTCACAGGGTGTTGCAAATTTCAAGTAAAGAACCTATTATTATTTTTACAGTCTGTATATGACCAACATCGAAATAATTTAAAACCTACGTTTATTTTATTTAAAACATAATCTAAAGCACACAGTCTTTACGAAAGAAATTGGTTTTCAATGGTTTGCGAGAAAATATACTTTGAATTTATGCCACTTTTCTAGTGATGCGTTTAATTTATTAAAAAACTAAAAGTACGAAAAGCTCAATATTTAAATTTTTATTTGAATTATATTCTATTATTTAAGTTATTTTATCATTAGCTGACATCAAACATTTTTAGCGTAGGTGGGTGTTTCAAAAATTAATTGAAACGAATTGGATAATTAATTGATTTTTTTAATTGTCCATAGAATTGCACATTGCGCTACAAATGCGCCACATTAGAAATATGCTAATAAAGCAGTAGTAAAGGACAAATCAAATTTTGAAAATGTTGTAAAAAGGGGTATTTTAGATACCAGTGCAAACAACAATTATTGTTTTTAAATGGAAAAGGTAAATTAAAATTTTTTAAATGGCCACCAATAAAAATTGCCGATAAATCTAAAAAAATGCTATTTTCCATTATGATTAATTATTGCTGAATTTGATTGATTTGATTCGTTCAAAGGAAAATTACGAAAAATAGTATTTTCCTATGAATTTCCAGATATTTGTTCCGATCTATCTCGATCTAATTGAGTAATTTATAATCTTATTTGTTACAGGAACAAATTCGAAAACGAAAAGAAGAGGAGGAACGAATAGCTGCTCAAAACGAATTCATCAATCGATCTCTGAGGGGTTCCCGAAAACTTCAGGCCTTGGAAAGTAAACCTCAAGGTACAGTAAATGATGCATTCGCTGAAGATGACACAACGCACGATTCATCGAGGTCCACGACACCTGCGGCCAATGGGGAAAAGGAAATTGTTCACACTGTTTACCGTAAGTCGATATTTAATTTACTGTTTTTCATACTTTAATTATTTATTTAATATAATAGCTGGTGAAAGGGATATAATATTAATTAGGTGCATTATATGCGTTAACAAAAAAAATAAAATAAAATAGGTAGTGCTATTTCAATTCCTATTATGGAGTCGTGATACACCAGAGAAGGGCACCACTCCCCCGGTGACATTTTATTACAAATGTTAATACCCTATTTATACTATTCCATTCTGTGGGATTTTGAGAATACGTACTGTAATGTTCGTGGGTTTAACAAAATTAACTTCTATTACTGATAATGACAAAAATTATTTATTTACACTAATTATTAATATATAACTATTCACTGCGCTATTTATTTCACTGCTATCACTGTCAATTTATTTTTGAATTTATATATACAAAGTAGGCACAACAACAAAAGTCAAGGCCAAAGAAGAAAACGCGGAAAAACGGTGATCCATGATCGAATTGTGGAAACAAAAAAAATTCTCAGTACTTTAATACTATG